TATAATAATGCTATTATGGGTATTTTAAAAAGAAATGATTCCAAAAACAAAAAAGTCCATATCTCCTAGAATGCACACTCAAATATTTACAGGTGAGGGACCATCTGGGATTTGCTTCAAAATAATCCAGGGACTTCCCTGGTGGCACAGTGGTTAAGAATCCATCTGCCAATGCAGGGGACACAGGTTTGAGCCCTGGTCCGGGAAGATGCCACATGCTGTGGAGCAACTAAGCCCTGTCTGCGTGCAGCAATGAAGGCCCAATGCAACCAAAAATAAATTAATAAGTTTATTTTTTTTAAGTTGTATGTGATTTCACCAAAATAACACTTAAAAAAAAAACAAAAACAAAGTAATCCAGATGGGAGGAAGTGGGAACCTGGGAGGAGATGAAACAAGACTGAGTTGATAACTGGTGTTTATGTTATACAATCTACTTTTTTTTTTCATTGTGGAAAAATATACCTCATATAAAATTTACCATTTGAAGTATTCTGAAGTGTACAGTTTAGTGGCATGAAGTACATTTTGCTACTATTTTTGGTTTAAAAGTCTCCAAAATCAGTAGTTGTAGCCCGGGGGCTCAATTGGGATCTTAGTGGGATCTTAGTTCCCTGACCAGGGATCAAACCCTCATCCCCTGCATTGTAAGGCGGACTCTTTACCACTGGACCACTATGGAAGTCCCCCAATTTTTTTTCCCACTATTTATTTATTTGGCTGTGCCGGGTTTTAGTTGTGGCATCAGGGATCTAGTTCCCTGACCAGGGATCCAACCCGGGCCCCCTGCACTGGGAGCGCAGGGTCTTAACCACTGGACCACCAGGGAAGTCCCTGGTAGATCCAATTTTGATGGGCTAGTGCAGCAATTTTTATTTCTCTCTTTAGTTTCTTAATTTTCTATGATGAATATGCTAATTTAAAAAAATATTTATTTATTTAGGCTGCGCCAAGTCTTAGTTGTGGCATGAGGGATCTTTCGTTGCGGCATGCATGTGGGATCAACTTCCCTGACCAAGGGATCCAACCCCGGCCCTCCGCATTGGGAGCGTAGAGTCTCACCCACTGGACCACCAGGGAAATCTCATGAATGTGCTAATTTTAAGAAAGTATTTTTGTAACAATAAGAAAAAGCTAGAGATTGCCTCTTTCCTTCCTTCTTTCCTCCCTCCCTCCCTCCTTTCTTTCTCTCTTTACTTTCTTTCTTTCTCTCTCTTTCTCTCTTTTCTCCTTCTCTCTCTGTTTTCTTCCTTCCTTCCTTCCTTCCTTCCTTCCTTCCTTCCTTCCTTTCTTTCTTTTAAAAATTTTCTGAAGAATAATTCTTACCCGAAGTGGCCTCCTGGTGGCGAATCAGGGAGCAGCTCACGCGCGTTCCTTTCCGCTGTCACGGGCTCCCGGGAGGGAAGGAAAGTGCCCGTGGCTGCTGAGCGCCCCCTGTGCGCGATTCCTGAGGGCCGAGGGGCCCGCCAGAAGTGGCCTCGAGGTCTTGTCCTAGAAGATGAAGGATTCAAAGGAGGAGGCAAAGGGAGATGTGGAGGTGATGAGTAGCAACTTTCCTCTTACCCCCTCCTCCCCGCCCCCAACTTCCTCCTCCTTTCAGGCCATCTCTTTTACTTACCAGCAATTCATCCGTTCATCAATGAACTGAGCGCCTACTGTGTGCCAGGCCCTTTATTTATTTATTTTTTTTTTGCGGTACGCGGGCCCCTCACTGTTGTGGCCTCTCCCGTTGCGGAGCACAGGTTCCGGACGCGCAGGCTCAGCGGCCATGGCTCATGGGCCCAGCTGATCCACGGCATGTGGGATCTTCCTGGACTGGGGCACGAACCCGTGTCCCCTGCATCGGCAGGTGGACCCTCAACCACTGCGCCACCAGGGAAGCCCCAGGCCCCTTTTTAAGCACCGGGGACAAAGGCCTTGCCCTAATGGAGCTGGCACAATGGCTGTGTGAGAGAGACACAGTAAACAAATAAAGAAAATATATAGCATGTTACGTGGTGATAAGTACTAAAAAGAAAAATAAATCGAAGAAGGGAGATACAGAATGGGGGGATGTTGGCAATTTAAACTAGAGTGGTCAGGAACCATCTCACTGGGTGTGTGAGTAGTGAAGTGAAGGATGTGAAGAGGTCAGTCAGGCAGATGTCAGGGGGAAGGGCATTCTAGAGGAGGGAATAGCCAGTGCAAAGGCCCTGAGGTTCCTGAGGCAGGAATGTTCCTGATGAGTTCGAGGAACACTAAGAAGTTTGGGTTGGCGGCGGGGGGCTGGGGGCAGAATCAGACAGAGAAAAAAATACACAAATGTGGCAACAGGTTAGCATTTGCTGTAAGGAAGACACACACACATCTAGGTGTGTATATATATAGAGAGAGGTATAGATATAGATACACATTTTCTTTCTGAACCTTTTTTGAGCCGGTTACAGACATGACTCTTTCTTATTCCTAAATACTTCAATTTATATTTCCTGAGAAAAAGGGCCTTCTCCTACGGAGGGTTTCTCTACCTTATTGACACCGAGGCTGGATAATTCTCTGCTGTAGAGGGCTGTCCTACACTGTAGGATTTTTAGCCTCCCTGGCCTCCACCCACTAGGTGTCAGTAGCACACACACCCTGGCTGTGCCGGCCAAAAATGTCTTCAGACATTACATAAATGTCCCCTGGATGACAGACAGTGCCCCTCCCCCAACCAGTGGAGAACCATTGCTTATATAACTATAGTATAATGATCACAATCAGGAAATTTAATACTGATCTAATCTTGCTACCTGAACTACAGATAATCAAATGTTATCAAAGGTTCAATAATGTCTATCTTAGTAATTTTTATTTTCTGGTCTCTGGTCCAATCCAGGATCACACATTGCAGACAGATGTCATGCCTGGAATGTCCTTTCTCCTTTCCTTATCTTTCATGACATTGACTTTTTAAAAAAAATTTTATTGAAGCATAGTTGATTTACAATGTTGTGTTAATTTCTGCTGCACGGCAAAGTGACTCAGTGTTTTATATATATATATATATATTCTCTTTCATATTCTTTTCCATTGTGGTTTATCACAGAATATTGAATATAGTTCCCTGTGCTATACAGTAGGATCTTGTTGTTATCCATCCTGTATAAAATAGTTTGCATCTGCTAATCCCAAACTCCCAATCCTTCCTTCCCCCACCTCCCTCCCCCTTGGCAACCACAAGTTTGTTCTCTATGTCTGTGAGGCTGTTTCTGTTTCGTAGATAGGTTCATTTGTGTGGTATTTTAGATTCCACATATAAGTGATACCATATGGTACTTGTCTTTCGCTTTGTGACTTACTTCACTTAGTATGATAAACTCTAGGTCCATCCATGTTGTTGCAAATGGCATTATTTAATTATTTTTTATGGCTGAGTAATATTCCATTGTATTTATATATACCACATCTCCTTTATCCATTCATCTGTTGATGGGCACTTACGTTGTTTCCATGTCTTGGCTATTGTAAATAGTGCTGCTATGAACATTGGGGTGAATGTATTTTTTTGAATTAGAGTTTTGTCTGGATATATGCCCAGGAGTGGGATTGCTGGATCATATGGTAGCTCTATTTTTAGTTTTCTGAGGAACCTCTGTACTGTTCTCCGTAGTGGCTGCATCAATTTACATTCCCACCAACAGTGTAGGAGGGTTCCCTTTTCTCCACACCCTCTCCAGCATTTGTTATTTGTAGACTTTTTGACATTGACATTTTTGAAGGTCATAGGCCAGTCGTTTTGTAGAACGTCCCTGTCTGGGACATTGGGGACATTGTATTTGTCTGATTTTCCTCATGAATAGATTCAGGTTAAGCATCTTTGGAAGAAATACCACAGAAGTGATGGTGTGTCCTTCTCTATGCAGTATATTAGGATTTGATTTGTCCATTTGCCCCATTCCTGGTCATTTTAACTATGATCACTTGATGAAGCATTATCTCTCTGTTTCTCCTCTGTGAAGTGACAACTTTTTCCTCTGTCATGAATGTGTATTTTATGGGTGGTTACACTGAAACTACACAAATATCCTGTTTTCTCATGAAACTTTCACTGACTATCTCATCCATTGAGGATTCTGACCTGAATCAACTGTCCTGATTTTAATAATTTTTTTTCATATCTGTTTAATTAATTAATTTATTTGGTTGTGCCGGGTCTTAGTTGTGGCATGCGAACTCTGTTGTAGCATGCACATGGCATGTAGTTCCCTGACCAGGGATCGAACCCAGGTCCCCTGCATTGGGAGCACGGAGTCTTAACCTCTGTGCCACCGGGGAAGTCCCTTAATAACTGCTTTAAATAAATACTGAACAGGCTGAAAAGGTTGCTTCTAACATACATGTGAAGTGGGAAGAGTAACAATGAAATGCACGTCCATGTAAATTTCAACCAGGCTCAGAAAGAGATACATCGGCATATGTGAAACCCCAGCACGTTCCTGCCTGGGGGTAAACATGGATTGTTCAAAGCTGGGGACGGGCGTGGGGGGGCAGGAGGGCAGCAGGGAGGCCTGGGATGGTGGGGTCTTTGAGTAACTAGATGGGGAGACGGATAAATTCCAGAACTACTCAGGTGGTGAAACTAATAGGATGTGGACGGACCAGTTAGATTTTGAGCCTGGGGAGGAGGGTGGAGGGCGAAGCGGGGGACTGGGCAGAAGGAGATGCTGCCCTTTGAGACCCTCAACTGGGGTTGATGAGCCCTCAGGGCTGGGGATGTGAGTGTTGAGGGGCAGACACAGACTCTCTGGGACAGCTGGACATTCCAGACCAGGGCAGGGCTGCTCCGGAGTTTCCAATAGGCCCTTGAACTGGCAAAGGAGCTGAAGGTGGCTCCCAAGAGGCTCACGTGCGTCATGGAGTGGCCAGGAGACTAGCTCTCCTCTCCTCTGGCTCAAGCCTCAGCCTGGGATAGGGTGGAACAGAGAAGGGTCATGTGTTCTACCATCAATGGTCTTAGGAATCTGGAGGAAAACAAAACGTTATTTAAGAGATCTAATCCTCTTTTGAGACCCAGAACACATTGTTCAGTATGAGTTTTGATACAGATAAGAAGGAACATGATACTTAAAACAGATTCAAGTGATGGGGGTATATTGGTAAACAGATTGCTTCTGGCACTATAGACTTGATAATTTGAAAGCTTAAGATATGAGGGAAATTATCAGATAATTTAATGCTTTATTTTTTATTTTTTGCGGTATGCGGGCCTCTCACTGCTGTGGCTTCTCCCGTTGCGGAGCCCAGGCTCCGGACGCGCAGGCTCAGCGGCCATGGCTCACGGGCCCAGCCGCTCCGCGGCATGTGGGATCCTCCCGGACCGGGGCACGAACCCGCGTCCCCTGCATTGGCAGGCGGACTCCCAACCATTGCGCCACCAGGGAAGCCCCTAGTGCTCTATTTTTGATGTTGACATGAAACAAAGATGGCTTTTTAAAAATTTTATTTATTTTGTTTATTTTTTTGGCTGCGTCATGTCTTAGTTGTGGCTCGCGGGGTCTTCATTGAGGTGTGCGGGAACTTTCTTTGCAGCAAAGGGCTCTTTTTGTTGTGGCACGTGGGCTTCTCTCTGGTTGTGGTGCACGGGCTTCTTCTCTAGTTGTGGTGAGCCGGCCCCAGGGCTCTGTAATTTGCTGCACACGGGCTCTCTCGTTGAGGTGCGCGAGCTCGGTAGTTGTGGCCTGGAGGCTTAGTTGCCCTGCGGCATGTGGGATCTTAGTTCCCTGACCAGGGATCGAAGCTGGAGTCCCTGCATTGTAAGGTGGATTCTTTACCACTGGACCACCAGGGAAGTCCCTGAAATGGCTTTTTCATTAAGGCTTTTACCTTCAGAACACAGTGTCTGGACTTTAAAAAGTTATTGGCACATCCCAAAGATCTGTACTGTTCTAGGGTGTGATAGCTTAGAAGTGAGTATAATTTGAACATAATGCCTTTTTAGAGTGTCAAATTCAGAACCAGGCAGATCCATCTCCTGACCCTAACTGTGGTCCTAAAGTAACTTACTTGAGGAAATTGGATCCCAAAGATTACAGGTGGGGAATTTTGAAGTGTGTCCATATTCCATTGGAGATCAAAGAAGCCCAACTAAAAGAATTGTGGACCAACTGACATGACAACTGTGGACTGAGCAAAACTTCTTTTTGAAAGGGCTGTCTTATCTTGAAGATTATGACTTTGGAGGCACTAAGGTGATTGGCAGGGGAAAGAATCAGAACATGTGAAATTCCTTAAAAAATTATTGACAAATAATTTTGCCTATGTTACACATTAAAAAAAAAACCTTTACACTTTGTGCAAAAAAAAAAAAAAAGAGAGAGAGAAAGAGATCAAAGATAATTGCATCTTTCCCCTTCATCCACCCAATCAAAGTGCCTTCTCCCTGTTACATACTTCCACACTAGCTGGAGAGGCTGGGACATTCTTCCAATGCTGCTCGGATATCCTTGGTCCACATGGAGTCCAAATTCACCTTTTGTTCCTTTCATTCAGCAAACAAGTATTTATAGAGCACCTTCTGTGTGCCAAGCATTGTTTGAGGCTCTGGGGACCAGGCAGTGTAGAAGACAGACAGAAAAGTTCTTGCTCATATGGGACTGACATTCCAGTGAGGAACAGATAGACATGTATAAGAAGGTGATAAGTGCTAGGGAAAAAAATTAGTGCAGGCCAAAGAGGTGTCTTGAGTGGAGAAAGCATGGGAAGGCGGCCAGGGGAGCCTCATTGTGACATTTGAACAGAGATCAAAAGAGGTGAGGCAGAAGCTGTGTGGACATCTATGGGAAGAGCATTCCAGGAAGATGGAGCAGCAGGTGCAAAGGCCCTGAGGCAGAACTGTGCCTAGTGGAGCAGAAGGAGTGAGCAGGAGAGTGAGTGGGAGGAGAGAGGAAGTCAAGAGGTGACAGAAACGGGTCATGCAGGGCATTGTGGGCCACTCTAAGGATTTTAGTTCTTACATTCTGTGAGATGGGAGCCATGAGAGGGTTTGTACAGAGGAGGGATAATGCCTTTGCCCCCAAACTGGTCCCTCCATCTTTCGACCTGGTTATAGTTCCACCCAGGCTGAAGCCCTGTCTTTCTCACCTCCCAAGTCTCACCTCCATCTGGCTCCCCTTCCACCTCCAGCTCCATCTCTCTCTCACATCCCCATTTTTATCTCGTTCAGTGTTTCTAGGAAAGGTAGGACACAACAAATGAACACAAATACACAATACCAATAGCATTCCAATATGGTGAAAGCAGCCAATTAGGAAAAGATAAAAAACAGAGCTTCTATCTACAAAAGCAGCCATCTTTGGGACTTCCCTGGTGGTCCAGTGGGTAAGACTCCACACTCCCAATGCAGGGGGCCTGGGTTCGATCCCTGGTTGGGGAACTAGGTCCCACATGCATGCCGCAACTCAGATTCCGCATGCCGCAACTAAAGATTCCATGTGCAGTGACTAAGACTCAGCGCAGCCTAAATAAATAAATATTAAAAAGAAAAAAAGCAGCCATCTTTCTCCCCCAAAGAGAATAACCTTAAGGAGGAGGGTGTGGTCTGTTTCAAGAAAACTCTAAAACTTTACTAGAAGGTTAAAATAAGACTTGGATTAATTAACTGATATGTCATGTTTATGGATGAAATGACTGAATTTTATTATGTCAGTTATATCTAAATTAATATACAGGTTTTGTTTTGTTTTTTGGTTGCATTGGGTTTTAGTTGCAGCACGTGTTGAGGCATGTGGGCTTCTCTCTAGTTGTGGCGTGCGAGCTTTGTCTCTCTAGTTGTGGTGCGCAGGCTCCAGAGCACGTGGGCTCTGTATTTTGCGGCAGGCGGGCTCTCTCATTGAGGTGCAGGAGCTCAGTAGATGAGGCACGCGGGCTTGCCCCTCTGCTGTGGGATCTTAGTTCCCCAACAAGGGATCGAACCCGCATCCCCTGTATTGGAAGGCGGATTCTTAACCACTGGACCACCAGGGAAGTCCCTCTCATCAGAATTTTGAGAGCAATGCTTTAATGCAAGAAGAAAATGGAGTGACATGTTTAAAGATATTCTAGCAAAGAAAATGGGAGCCAAGGATTTTATATCCAGCAAAATTGACTTTCACATATAAAGGATATAGACTGTTATCAACATGTGAGAGCTAAGGGAAGATGGTTTCCATGAGGTCTTGAGGATTCCATTTCAGATAAACAAATGTCTAGAAAGACATGTGTTTATGACTGCAAAGAGTGTGAAACATAACATTACTTGTAAACCTAAGACCGAAGGGTACTAAACAAAGAAGGGTGATGTATGTAATGGATAAATGTTCTCTCAGTGTAGATGCAGTACAAATATATCTATATGATGGCAAAAGGGGAGAGTATATGCAAGAGATACTTTAAAACACTTTTAGTAACATATTGATGGTAGTATTCGCATTGTTTTTTGAGACCACTGTGTGAGCAGTGTTTATTAAAGCAAATGAATGATTCTGAGACATTCTAATTCTGTTTTCATCAGTGTTCTTAAGAACCAGGATTTTTATGAAAGAAAGAAGAAACAGGTAGTATTAGTATCCTATTGCTGCTGTAACAAATTACCACAAATTTAGTGGCTCAAAACGTTAATTGATTATCTTACAGTCCTGGAGTTCAAAAGTCCAACATGGGTCTCACCAGGCTAAAAATCCAGGTGTCCTCAGGGTTGCATTCCTTCTGGAGTCTCTTGGGGAGAGTCCATATCCCTGACTTTTCTAGCTTCTAGAGGCCACCTGCAATCCTTAGCGGGTGGCCCCCCTTCCAGCAATCACAATCACTCCCACCTCTGCTTCTGTCTTCACATCTCTTTCTCTGACTCTGACCCTCCTGCCAACAATTATAAGGACTTTTACGATGACATTGGGCCCACTGGAGAATCCAGGACGATCTCCCCATCTCAAGATTCTTAACATAATCACATCTGCAAGTCCCTTTTGCCATGTAAGGTACCATGTTCACAGGTGGTAGAGGTTAGTATATGGACATCTTTGGGGGGACATTATTCTACCAACCAGAAAGAGGTTGAGTAAAAATCATGCAGTCCTGAAATTGAACTGGAAATATGAGAATGAATTCATAAAGTATTGTACCTAATAGAATATGGACATATATATCATATGTATATGCATAAATGTACACGATAATATATTACATACATATTATAATATATTATATACAGATTATATCATGATATATAATTATGTGTTATATTATAGGACAATATATTATATGTTCTCTCTATATTATATATATAGATATTATATAATATATATATTCCCCTCCTTTTAGCTCTTTTTTTTTTTTTTTTTTTTTTTTTGCGTTACGCGGGCCTCTCACCGCTGTGGTCTCTCCCGTTGCGGAGCACAGGCTCCGGACGCCCAGGCCCAGCAGCCATGGCTCACGGGCCCAGCCGCTCCGTGGCACGCGGGATCCTCCTGGACCAGGTCACGAACCCGTGTCCCCTGCATCGGCAGGCGGACTCCCAACAACTGCACCACCAGGGAAGCCCCCTTTTAGCTCTTTTGACCATGAAAGTCTAGACACATGGCCAACCCAATAGCAAATGAGCATTTCTAACACCCAAACGAATATAATTTCCCACCAAAAAAAGCCCCCAGAGTTTCTGGCTGATGCCAGGTCTGGGACAGGAAATGTCCAAGATGTGCCTGGAACATCTGGTCATAGGAGACAGCAAGAAAACTATCAGAGTTGCTCCAAAAAGTTCCAACCAGTAGAGGCTCCCACTGGCCAGGTGGGCCCACCAGTGAGGATAAAGGATTGGAGCACAACATATTTAAATCCATAAGCTCATAGCTACTTAACGAAAGAGCCAGCCTATAATTATTAGAGAAATGTAAATCAAAACTACAATGAGGTGTCACCTCACACTGGTCAGAATGACCATCATCAAAAAGTCTACAAATAGGGTTTCCCTGGTGGCTCAGTGGTTAAGAATCCGTCTGCCAATGCAGGGGACACGACTTTGAGCCCTGGTCCAGGAAGATCCCACATGCCGCGGAGCAACCCTGCGCCACAGTTACTGAGCCTGGGCTCT